CCCCACAGAGAACTGAAGGGCAGAGCTGTTTAAACAGCAATTGCAACAACACAGAAAGTATTTTCTCTCTCTCTCAATGGTGGGAAAAAAGGAGTTTCCATGGATAGATCCACACCCAGACAGAAACCCCTCTGGCCACAGAGCACCCACCTGCCTGACACAGCTTCCAACACCTTCACACATGGCACAAGCACAGCATCAGGTGTCCCAGTGCCGGGCTCGTGGTGATTATCCCCATTCCATAAGTACAGAAGCATCAAGAAGCTGAGGTCGAACAAGCCCTGGGCAGCACTGGGATTACAATAGAGCGTCCCAGCTCCCTGACCTGTGCTGAAGAAATGGGGTCACCTCCTCCCTCCAGTTCAGATGAGCACAGCACCAAGAGCTCTGGGTTTGAGCTGGAAACTACGATAGGCTGATCAAGGAGAAAGAGGTGATGGGGAAGAGAGGAAGATGTCTGAAAAGCAGCCACACATTTAAGTGCTTGCCTTGACAGCCGGGAAGAGCATGCCCAACCCATCACTGGGGTTTGTTAGCAGAAGATACCAACTAGGGAGAGCCAGCACCCCTCAGTCTCTGCGATCTGAGCCTACGTACGTACCCCTTTGTCACACTGGAAGGAGAGAAGAGCGGTGCCTCAGGCTCTGCAAGCACGAGATGTCAGCGAAGGGCACCACCAGAGCCTGGTTAAGAGGCAGACACGGGTCTGGCTGAGGCAGTGCGGTCTCCTCATCACCCAAACCCCATCAGAGCCACTGGCAGTCTCCTGCAGTCCCTGTCAGTGCTGGCAGGAGCAGAGGATTCCTTTAAGACGTTAGGGAGGTAAAGCAGATGGGGAGGGAAGGAGAAATACTTTTCGGTGATACGAGCTTGCAAAACAGCCTGCCGGGTGGTGGCAACTGCAACCCTGTTATTACAGAACAGGGAGGACTGCTCTGTGTCCCCTCGGAGGCTTCAAGGGACAAGGATAAAGCCCCAGGGAAGAGCCACGCACTCCATGTGAGGGGCTACAAACAGCATCAACAACCCCACCAAGCACAGGCCTTGAAGCAACTGAGCCCCCTCCAGGGAAACACAACCCAGCAATTCCATGTAAAACACATTTTCTGAGCCACCCTACAGGCTGGAGGAGGATTTGCTGCAGTTTCCACACAGGCTGGGAACTGGCTTCTCTTTTTATAGGCTTTTCTTTTATTCCCTAGCTAATGATGAAGGTGATGTTCTGAGGAGCAAAAGCACTGCCAGTCACGGATGCATCACCATGGGGAAAGCAGTTCTTTCTGTCCTACATGTCATAGCTCATGTTAGCTCTTTAGGGAGGCTTCAAGCTACCAGATATTCAATACTAAGAAAGAGAAGACCCCAAAATACAAGTCAAATCCACGTTATATTCATAAGCAAATAAAAAATAAGGGAAATTGAGAGCACCTCTGCCACTCAAGGGCACCCCTTTCGAACTGATAACCACAGCCTGGCCTCACACCGAGCGCAACATCATCACACAGCATGAAACTCCAGGACACCACAGCATCCAAAAGCCAGGTTCAGAGCAGGCTGAAGCATCCCCCATGACCCTGTCTGGGGAACAGGTCACCACTGCTCTGAACACTGAAGGTCCAGGAGGTTTGATGGAGTCATGATGGGGAAAGAAAACAGCTGCCTAAAAACAAACGCAGGAAAGGAACGTGTTCCACAGGGCAGAGGGAAGGTGGCGGCTCCTGGAGCTCAATAACTGCAGGATGGATGTGACAACAATGGCACAAGTAGCTGCTTTTGGGTTTCTTAAGGTGTTTCGGGTAAGTGCCTTCACACAGTGGCAGAAGGAGCCGATGTGCAGCTGACAGCAGTGACAAGAGAAAGATTCACTGGCAGTGCTTGGCTTGTGCAGAGCTGTGCTTTTTGGACAGGCTCAGTACCCTGCACGCACTCTGCCTCTTCCCTGGAAGCTCACCATGAGGATAACAGCACCAAAGGGGGTTGGGATCACAAAATATGGGGATTGTTAAGGTTAACATGTGTTTTTGGTAATGATCTTCAGCATTCAGTGACAGCCCCTTGGTCTTACCCCTGACCCGAGGCAGCAGAACAAGTCCTAACACCATCCCTTCCAACCAACTCAAATCAAAGCATCTCTGCACCAAACAAAACTTGCTCTGGAGAGCTGGAGCACCCCTAAATGCATCTCGAAGCCCTGATGGGGCTGTCACTACTGATCTGAGGTTGGACAAGGCTGGCAGTGGAAGGGAGCATCCCCACACCTCATCAGTATGGACCTCCTGAGAAGCCCCAGAGCAATTCAAGCAGCTCTGCCACCTCGCCTTCAGCCTTCAGAGGCCCACACTGCTACAAAACATGCACAAACACAGGACAAAATAAGCCAGACAAGCATTTCAAAACGAGTCTGAAACACAGAAGACATAGAGCACATGAGCTGCAAACGTTGCCTGGACTATACTAGATAGGGGGAATATTAACATTTCAAGCCACAGATGTTTCAGTAGGTGTTCAGCAGGCAAACACAAATACCACAGAACTGGGGAAGCAAATAGAGATCACAGCATGGTCCAGTGTGGATGCAGCAAAGCTCTAGGAGAACATCTGCAGCTCCTGAAAGGAGACTCCTGAAGGCAGGAGCCCTGTTTGCTGCACGTTGCCCAACACAAGGCACAGTGTTCCATTCGGATGCGTCACCCGGCTCTCCTTTAATCTAAGACACAAGCAAGTTGAAAAGGGATTCTGACCTGAATATCTACACTACATCAAAAGCTGCATTAGCTGCTAATGGCAGCACAACCCAGATACCTGGATGCAGCTCCTGGGGATATCACCAACTGCAGATGGTCCCACTCAGGTCAGAAAACTGCACTCAAAAGGAGCTCCAACCTGGAAAAGCACCCATTGAGCACGTTATCAGGGCCATCTGTCCTCTTTTCACAGGGTTTTATCTAGATATGGACCAGATCTGAGCCCCTCTCTGCCTCTGACACCTTTCAGAAGCCCTCTCAGACATCCCCACATAACGCTGCAGTTCAAAGCCAAGGGCTTGAAGCTTATTTATATCCAACCTTAAGGACAATTTGTGAGGGCAAAGCCTGGCTCGGTGTTTCCCAACAAAGCTCGCCATGCCTAAATATACAGGGAAAAAGAACTTCCCTCTGAGGAGCAGCTCTATTTACACAGAAAGTGGGAAGCGTTTTCCAGCAGCCCTCACTCACATCCTGTGGAAGCGGCTGGAACGGGCAGCGGGTGAAGCTGCCAAACCCCAAGGCTGCTTTGAAGCCCTGCAGGGACCTTCACAAACCAGTTGTGTGCTGGGAACACAGGGAGAAAGGACCATCCCCTTCACCCCAGTGCTGGTGTCGCTGCTCCGGAGGGAACTCGAATCACAACTGGAACTCACACACAGTGCTTGGAAAGCCGGCGAGCGGAGCAGTAAAATCCTGTCAAACCCAAGAGCTTCACTTCCCAATGTGGAAAAAATGCTGCTTGGGTGGAGTCAGCCATCAGGGAGAACAGCAGGTAAGACAGCAGGAAAAACATGCACAAACATCTTCACTATGTGAAAACAAGCACTGGATGTGATTCTGCCTCTGAGAGGAGCACGCAGGTACAAAAGACACAGTGAGGATTGGACACGGTGCAGGAACAACAATCATTGCTTGCCCGAATCCTGCTCAGGAGCCTGCTCTCTCCTCTCCCACTTCTGACAGCAGGGAAAGACCGACCCCAGGCAAACCCAAGGGACACAACCTAAGGGAAAGCCAGCAGCACTGAGCCTTTCTGTGGTACAAGTGTAAGGAAAAAGGAAGGGAGGACGGTGGGAACACGCAGGGCTACGGAAATGTGGGAACAACAGCGAGTCCCTTAACTCCTGAATTAACCATCCAGCCCCGAGATTTGGCTCTTCAGCAGAGCCAAGCCCAGGCTGCAACTGCTGCGCTGTGATATCAAACCCTGCATCAGCATCATGGACCTGGGGTTCACGAGGCAGAGGATGGGCACAGGCATCCTGCCACCAGGCTGGGGATGTGAGCTCCAGTGTGATGGATTGTAAGGCATGCTCCTTTCAGGAGAGGGGAGGACTCCCAGCTGCTGAGCTGCAGCACGAGCCAGGTTCCCCAGTGAGGATTAAACCCCATTTTAACCCCAGCACCATCCCTGGTGCTCAATCGGGTTGTCCACACAGCCCCCATGTACCGACCCGACCCACCACACCGCAGCCCGGCACTTCAGTCCGGTTCCCTTTTGTTCTTCCCCCCCCCCAAACATGAATGAGACTTTAGGTTATCAAGGGCACGATTCCAAGGCTCCTAACAAACGCCCTGCTCCATTTGGAAACCCAAACGGGCTCCAAAGGAGAGGAGAGGGCTGCACAGCATGAGCTAATCCTGCCGAGCCCCTGCAGTGCCTGCCCAGCCCCAGCCCAGCCCCGTCGTGACAAGGGAAACACCACTAAATGAAGCCGTTCTCTCATCGCCCACCACAGACCAGCACCGAAGACAATGGCGAGGAAGGACCCAGCCTCATCGCTTCAATACAAGGCTCCGAGGGACCAAAACAAGCGCAGGGCGAGCAGCACACACGGCACGAACGCGAGATGTGGCTTCCTTAACGGGGAACAAGCAGAGGCTGAGCCTCACCTTTTGTCTTTAGACACGGAGGAGCCGCCTCTGAGGCTGGGGGCACCCCAGCCCGCAGCTCAAACGCTGCTTTTGGGGAGAAATCCGTTTTTTTTCTTAGAGAAAGGGCAGGTTTTCCCTATCCCCAGCAGTAACAAGACCTGAGGCTGCGCTCCCCTCTCCCGCGGGGCAGGGAACGAACGGGCTTCCCCCCTTCACTGGGGCGAGCAGCCCTCGGGGACCGGGCACAGCACCCCCTAACCCGGGGGAAGAGGGGCTCGGCCCCTTCGCCGTGTCCCCCTCCGGGCTCGGCCTAGCCCCCCGCCGCCGCCGCCCCCCCGGGGAAGGGTCACTACCCGCCCCACGGAGCCCTCCGCTCACCTCCCTTCGCCCGCCGCAGCCAGGCCGAGCCCTCAGGGCTGCCGGCCCCGGGTCCGCCGCGTCGCCCGGGTGACGGCTCGAACCGGCGCCGCCATCTTCCTCCCCTCCCTCCCGTCCGCCGCCAACCGCCGCTCCGGAGCGCACCGCGCAGGCTCCTTCCCCTCACGTAACGGCGCGGCGAGGGGCGCCATGATGGGGAGGTCAAGTGGAGCCCGCCCGCCCGCCTTCGTGTCGCCGTGGCGGACGCCATGATGGGGAGGTCCCGTCGTGGCGGGAGCGGCGCGGGCGCCATGTTGGGGAGGTCGCGCCGAGGAGGAGGCGCCATGTTAGGGAGGTCGCGCTGAGGAGAAGGCGATGGGGCGGCTCCTGCTCCTTCCCGACCGTACCGGGAGGATTCTGCGGCTTTCCGGGCTCCCTCGTCGGCCGCTGCTCGGGGAGGCACAGCCGGGTCCCCGGTTCCGTGCCCCAGCCGTTAGGAAGCGGCCATGTGGGGCTGGGAGTGATGGAAGCTGTGGTGTGGAGGCCGAGGGGGAAAGCAGCAGCGGCAAAGCAGCTTTGCTCTTTGCACCTCAGCGGTGTTACTTGAGGACCTGAGGGATACAGAGGTGAGGGTTGTGTCTCATTGCCCCGTTAAAGCCGCCTAAAAAAATCAATGTATCAATCAATAAACCCTACAAAAATTCAATCAATAAATCAACCAATAACCCCCCCCAAATAATCAATGAATCTACCAATGAACCCTAAAAAAAAATCAGTAAATCAATAAACCCTAAAACCTCTATAAATCAATACATCAACCAATAAACCCTAAACAATAATAATCAATAAACCTCCATAAATCAATAAAACATAAAAAACCAATAAATCAATAAAACATAATAATCGATAAATCAATCACTAAACCCAAAACCTCGATAAATCAGTCAATAAATTGACCAATTAACCCTAAAAAAATCGATAAATCAATAAATCCTAAACAATAATAAAAGTCAATAAACCCTAAAAAAGCAATATTCAATAAATCAATGATAAATTAGTAAACCCTAAAAAAGTCAATAATAAATCAATAAATCCTAAAAAATCAATAACCAATAAATGAATAACACCCCCCCCCCCCAAATCAATAAATCCATCAATAAATTCACTTTTTGGACGGGCGCTGCAGAACCTGCCCCAAAATCCTTCCTTTTGCCCCCAAACGCTGCAGTTGCACTCATGGGTGTTCATGTCCTGGCTGCTTGCAGCGGGCGGTGACCCAAGGGGTTTATGGGCTCTTTAACAGCTGCGTTTACCAGTGTTGAGCCCTGGCCACGGAGCCTGCACAAGGCACGGCTTTCCCGGTGCTTCCTTCTTCCCTTTGCCTTGGAAGTGCCCTTGAGCTCGGCTCCACTCGGGATGGGATCAGGCTGCTCGGGATGGATGTTTCCCGGTGGATGCAGGAGCGCTGTGAGGTGGATCCGGCTGCAGGACAGCCCTGCTCCCTTCGTGTTGGTTTATCACCAGCTCCTGCATCCCTCCTCACCAGGACACGGCATCGGCTGCCTGCGGATGGGCAAAGCTTCCCTATGGCAGCCAGGCTGAGGAGGACTCCCAGCACAGCTCAGATCCATGGGGACACCCAGGACTTGTCCTGACAAAGCTCTTCCTTCCTTTTCAAGGCCTCACCAGCAGGTCAGCCACATCCCATCCCGGGCTCCATGCTGCCATGGGAGAAGTGGAATTCCTTTCTGCAGGCGCTGGGTTCCATGGCACAGGACCTGCTTGGTGCTGTGCAGGATGGAGCAGCTCCTTCCCTCTGCTTCCAATGGCCAGCAGTGGCACAGCGAGGAATTCCACCAATTCCTGTCACAGGGAAAACCAACATGAAGGGAGCAGGGCTGTCCTGCAGCCGGATACACCTCACAGCGCTCCTGCATCCACCGGGAAACATCCATCCCGAGCAGCCTGATCCCATCCCGAGTGGAGCCGAGCTCAAGGGCACTTCCAAGGCAAAGGGAAGAAGGAAGCACCGGGAAAGCCGTGCCTTGTGCAGGCTCCGTGGCCAGGGCTCAACACTGGTAAACGCAGCTGTTAAAGAGCCCATAAACCCCTTGGGTCACCGCCCGCTGCAAGCAGCCAGGACATGAACACCCATGAGTGCAACTGCAGCGTTTGGGGGCAAAAGGAAGGATTTTGGGGCAGGTTCTGGAGCGCCCGTCCAAAAAGTGATTTTATTGATGGATTTGTTGATTTTTGGGGGGGTTATTCATGGATTAATTGATTTTTTTTGGTTTATTGATTTATTGATTTTGGGGGGTTTATTGATTTATTGATTTTGGATTTTGGGGGTTTATTGATTGATTTATTGATTTGGGGGGGTTATTGATTGAGTCATTGATTTTGGGGGGGTTATTGATTATCTGTTTTTGGGGGTTTGTTGATTGAGTCATTGATTTTGGGAGGTTTATTGATTGATTTATCTATTTTTTTGGGTTTGTTGATTGAGTCATTGATTTGGGGGGTTTATTGATTGATTTATTGATTTTGGGGGTTTACTGATTGATTTATTGTTTTTTTAGGCTGCTAGAATGGGGCAATGAGCCACAACCCTCACCCCGGAGACACTCAAGAAGTGAACGCAGTTGTGTCTGTTGTGGCAAGAAAGAAGAGAAAATGAATAAATGATGTTTTATTTTGGGTTTAAAGGCTGGGTCCGCACACTGGGGAGTAGCTGAGGTGTTAATGGAGCAGAGGTGGGAAGGACAGGCGGGTTGTGGGACCGGATGAGAATGGCGAAAGGAAGGGAAACCACCCCAAAACCTCGAGCGCTTCCAGGCTGACCCCGGTCCTCCCGCCCGCCAGGGGGCGCGGCCGCGCCGCCTCTTCTCCTGCCCCCTCCCCTCCCGGCCGCACGTGCTCGCCCGCAGCGGCTCCCTGCGCACGCGCCGCCCGCCTCACCTCTCCCCGGGCCGCTCGCGGCGGGGCGCGCATGCGCGGGGCGCGGCTGGCGGCGGCGGAGGGCAATTAAAATGGAAGATGAGGAGGTCGCCGAGAGCTGGGAGGAGGCGGCCGACAGCGGGGTGAGCCCGGCGGCGGGGCCGGCAGCGGGCACCGGGCGGGCGGCGGGGCGGAGCGGGAGGGACCGACAGCCGGCGGGGCGCGGCCAGCGGGGCGGCCGGGCCCGGAGCGCCTGCTAGGCCTCTTAAAGGGACCGCGGCCTCGCTCGGCGAGGGGGGGTGTACCCGGCCTCAGCGCCTCCCGCCCGCCTCCTCTCCATCCCCCGGTGCTGTGGGAGCCGCTTCCCGCCCCTCCGGCTGCCCCCCCGGTGCCCAGACACACTTCTCTGTTCCTCCGGCCGTGTGGGGCTGCGGGCAGGGTGGCAGCGGCCGGGCCGGGCCAAAGCTGCGGGCGCTGGGGAGCGTGGGGGGGTGCTGGCTCCTTCTGCTGAGCGGCCACGGCAGGATAAGCCACGTTAAGCCCCGCAGGGTGGGCTGTGTCTGCCGGGGGGGGGTCACAGCCAAAGCCCTTTTGCTCCCTTGGCTCCCTGTTAACGTGCTGCTTCACTAGGACAAACCGTGGCTCGTAGCTGAGGTTTTGGCTTGCCGTTAATTGCTCCAGAGCTGAGCCTCTCCTCACTGAGAGGCTCTGAAGCGTGAAATAAAGCCATTACTTTAGCAGGGGGGTGGGTTAGGGTCTGTGGGGGGCTCACACCGGGGGAGAGGAAACCCTTTACCAGGCACACTCCTGTTTGAATGCGTTCATTACCAACCAGAGGGCAAAAGGACTTTGTAACAATGACTTGGTGAAAAGGCTGAGGCTTCTCGGGGGATTGGGTTACGTCTGCCCAGCAAGGGGGTGGCAAAATAGAGCCTGTAACTCAACCCATGCCCGAGCCCAGCGCTCGCCCCGTGCCAGGGCCTGCGGAGCCTTGTGCTGGGTGGTGCGGTTCAGTCGCTCCATGAAGGGACATAACTCGTGTCCCCGGCAATGCTGATAGCTGTGGCCTTGAGTAATGGTTTAAAATTGTAGGGCTGCGCAGATCCCGGCCAGCCGTTGTCTGTCCTCACTGTCCTTTCCAGCCCGTACCTTGTAGGTGTGCTTCTAAAGCCCTTAGAAGGAAGAGGCTGTTCTCACCCCCTTTTCCAGTCCAAACTTGTGGGGTTTTTGTCTTCATCAAGCTCTCCTGAGGAGCTGCTGCTGCTCTTGCAGCTGCTTTGGCAGTTGTCGGGGCTTGGGGGTGCCTGCAGAAGCAAAGGTATCTGCGGCAGGAGCTCCTCTTGTGTAAGACAAGGGTCAGGAGCTGCCTCCTGGCATCTGTCGTGATTTAAAAAGGTCATTTCCAAGCCCTGCCTGGCAGGAAGGAGCCCCTCTACTGCTGCCGGTGGCTGCAGGAAGCACGGTGGGATGGAGCAGGGGAGCCCAGCCTCTGCCTGACCAAGGGTTTTCATGGTCCCAATGGACGTGGATGCGGTTGGGCTGTGCTGCTGCAGAATCAGAGCTACCAGAGGTGGAGAGCAGAGGGCAGGAAGAGGCCATGCTGCAGAGCAGCAGCGAGACTGATTCACTTGTTGGCTGGGCTCTGTGCCCAAGCCCTGCTGCTGTTGTGGGCCTGGAGCCTGGGACCTGCCCGAGCGAGATGGGTCTCATGGCAGAGGTGAAAAAGGATGGAAGGGGTGAGGTGGCCGGGTCCTGTCAGCACAGGGACCTACATCTTCAGACAGGCTGAGAACACTGGGGCTGTTCAGCCTGGAGAAGAGAAGCTGCGTGGAGACCTCAGAGCAGCCCCCAGTGTCTGAAGGGGGCTGCAAGGATGCTGGAGAGGGACTCTTCATCAGGGACTGGAGTGATAGGACAAGGGGTGATGGGTTCAAACTGAAACAGGGGAAGGTCAGGTTGGAGATAAGGCAGAAGCTCTTCCCTGGGAGGGTGCTGAGGCGCTGGCACAGGGTGCCCAGAGAAGCTGTGGCTGCCCCATCCCTGGCAGTGTCCAAGGCCAGGTTGGACTCAGGGGTTTGGAGCAAGCTGCTCTAGTGGAAGGGGTCCCTGCCCATGGCAGGGGTTGGAGCTGGAGGAGCTTTAAGGTCCCTTCCAGCACAAACCAGGCTGGATTCTGTGATTTTATTCTTCTGACTTGCCGTGGATTGGAGGTGGCACAAGACAGATCCTAGAAAGGCACAAGCCAGCAGCAGCCAGTGCTCAAGAGGAATATGCAATAAAGCAT